TAAGCCGTGAGCGACCTCTCAAATACCCCAGAACTGTCTGAGGCAGAAACGAGGCCAGTGGAGCTGAGCCTGCACAGAACTCACCGCAGTATCTCACATCTCCTGGGGTGGCTTTTTCCTTCATCCAGGCAGCTGGAAGGGAGGAGAGGGCAGTCAGAGGGGCATCTCCTGCTGCGCAGCGTCACCCACCCTCCCCAGCTCCCTCCCGGTCCCTGGCACCTACCAGACTTCCAGATGTCGAGGTGGGCGTGCAGGATGTCGCCGCAGGCCGGCGAGAGCTGGCAGAACTGCTCCTCGGACATGGCACACAGGTCTTTTCCCGACAGCTCCTGGAAGGACTTCCCGATCTGCGGCAGCCGGGACTGGGGCTCTGTCCACAGGATCCACTTCTGCACGTTGCTGGGGCTCCAGTCTGCAGGGTCTGGAGGCAGAGGGTGAGCGCGGCCAGTGATAGCCCTGGGCAGAGCCCGGGGAAACTCATCTCACCCCACAGCAGCCTCAGAAAACAATCCCCTCCTGCCCCGCTACATCCTGCCACCGGGATGGGAGCATCCCGCCTGCCCCGGTACCCTGAGGACAGGACCATCCCCTCGCCACCTCCTTCACTTTGGGATGCCTGATCCAGCCCTTGGGAGCCCCACACTCGCTCCCTGCACCATCCCGGGTGACACCAAATGCTTCAAGGGAGTGGGTGGCAGAGCCCGCAGGAACTTCAGCGCATCCTGAGGCTGTTTGTGTCACGGCAGCGCTGCCCCGGGGAAGTACCCCCGCGACGCCCCACGGCAGCAGTACCCCCGGGAACTCGGTCCTGGGCTGTCCTGCTCCCCTTGCACCCCCCCCATGTCCAGCTCGGGTAGTGCTGGCTGGCTCCGGGCTGTCCCCAGCCCCACGCCTTCACCCGCCCGTTCCTAATGTCCCAGGGAAAATGGGACAGAGAAAAGGATAACAAAAGCTGCGCCGTTTGCTCCTTGCTACTGCACAGCCTCCCCAGGATGCGTGCGAGGGGCACCTCGGGAACGATGCCCTGGGCGGGGCAGGGACCCCCAGCG